AAAAAAAAAAAAAAAAAAAAAAAAAAAAAAAAAAAAAAAAAAAAAAAAAAAAGGGACTTAGATAAAATGCCAGTTTTGATGGTTGCATATCAGTTGATTATTAATTGTGAGCCATCCTCTGGCTCTCTCATCATTCCTTCATCTTTTCAGCAGCCACAACCCACTGGTGGGTACACACAGCGCCCTTCTCCAAATGTCGCTGTGCAGTGGCCTTCTAGCAGAGTTCCATGGAAGCTACTGTACATTTCATTTGCACCACAGTCACAAATATGGATCACCCTGACATCATGTTTCTGACTCAATCTCTTCTCAGACACATTCCAAATTTATAGACCCTTCCCCTCAAAATATAAAGACTGAAAATTCCTCAGCATATGTCTGGTGTACTCACCTTTTTTCCTTTATCTCTTTTTGCCTGTTAGGGAGCTTATGTTGTTTTGTTTTGTTGCAAAGTATCTTATAACCCAGACTAGCTTCCAACTCTGCACAGCTAAGGATGACCTTGAACTTCTGGTCCTCCTGCCTCTCCCTCCCAAGGGCTGGGGTTACAGGTGTGTGCTGCTGAGCTGTTTCGCGCCTCACTGGGAATCAAATCTAGGGCTTTGTGCATTCTAGGTGCTTGGTTTGTATTTGTTTGTTTGGGTTTCTTGGGCAAGATCTTGGGGTCTCACTCTGTAGCCTAGGCTGGCTTGAAACTCTCAGAAATCTTCCTGCCTTTGCCTGTTGGGGGCTGGGATTACAGGCATAATATGCTTTTCCTTGTCTACTTTCTTCATAGTTTATTCTTGGAGTCATTTCTAAAGAGAGGTCCCAGAGAGGATGGGTAGAGAGCATTTGGAAGGGAATCACCTCCATATAATGTGACTCTTACCATGGCTGATCCTTTTCTCCATCAAAATTAAGCTCTGTGTCATGGTCACAAATAATGAAATCAAAATCATTTCATTGTCTTCATTTTTTTTCCCCCTGCTGATATGAGAAAATTCAAATGCAACATTTTTGTAGATCCCTACTGTGCCCATGGGGGTGGGAGGGGTGAACCCCCTGCAGAGCAATTGGCTGGTGATGGGCAAACAAAGAGAAGTAACTGAGGAAAGGCAGAGGAAGTTGCTCAGCCTGAGAGCAAACTGGGCCTGGAGCAGACAGAGGAGACTAAGAAAGAGCTGACCCTGCTCATCAGTTCTGTGATTGGAAAAGAAGACCTGGGTGGGATCTGCGGTGTCCAGCATTGTCTGCAGGGTAGTGAGGAACCAGGTGGTACAAGCTGTGAGTGTCAGGGACTGGGAGGAAATGAGGAGCCCTGGAGCTGAGAATCAGTGAGTAAGACACAAAGGATTTAGGGTGAGCCATGAAGTGGGGCTTGTATAATAGAGGATAAAGAAGTATTGGTTAGCCAGGCATGATGGTGCAGGCCCTTCATCCTACTACTCAAGAGGCAGAGGCAGGCTGAGTTCAAGGCCAGCGTCATCTACATAGTGAGTTCCAGAACAGCCAGGACTATGTAAAGAGACCATGTTTCAATAAACAAACAAACAAATAATAAATGAATGAGTGAGTGAATGAATGGAAGGAAGGGAGGGGGGAGGGAGGGAGGAAGGGAGAAAGGAAGTAAGGAAAAAAGGAAAAGGAAGGAAGGAAGGAAGGAAGGAAGGAAGGAAGGAAGGAAGGAAGGAAGGAAGGAAGGAAGAAAGTATTGGTCAGGAAACTAAATGTCACACATAGTTTCCAAGTCCAGTTCATAAATGGTATAACAATAATCCTAAAGTTCAAGAATCATTACGCAGTTGATCCTGGCTATGCCAAGTGTGAATCCTTAGAAGATGTGTGGTTACTAGCTGTTGTATGTGAGAGTACCCAGTCCATAATAAGGTCTTGGTAAACCGTCCACGAAGCTTACCCGAGCTAGGAAGGGATAAGGCAGAGAACATGGTGTTTCAGGGCAGAGGGGAGGCTAGACTGAGGTGAGGCTGTCTGAGGGACCAGACAGACCTTAGCAAACCAGTGTGTGGCTGGCCTGGCAAGCTCTGCACCCTCTCCAGGGGCTGCGCCTCCTCTATAGAAAGAGAGTAACAGTTGGGTAAGGAGTAGACAGATGCACCACGCCTCGGGCCTTTGTGTGACTTGTACAATTTAAATAAACCCTTGCTGGAGGAGGAGCAGGGGACTCTTTTTAAATCCCCTTTCCCCTTTCAGCAGCTACTGCCAAGCAGCGGCTGCTGTGGAGCCTAAATCGGATGGCACATTGGAGGCAGCGTGGAAAGACAAATGCGAACATAATGTACTCCCAGGGGGAGGTTCTTGGAAAAGCCTTCCAAGACAGGTGGCTTTGAAAAACCAGGAAGGAGGGCGTCTGTGATCACAGAAGTGTCCAAATGAAACCCTAAACGTGGCCCCATTTCCTACGGAAGGAAGAAGGAAACGTGACCAATTCGTTTTATTAACAGAAATTTGCGCGGTTCAGACATGAACGGGCTGGTGCAGAAGGCCTTGGATGCATCGAATGTCTATGAAAATATTGCCAACTATGTCAGTGAGGCCAATGAAACGGCAGAATTTGCTCTGAATATCACTGACCGAATTTATGATGTAAGTAGCCCTTTACCTCAGGGTTTGCTGGTACATCGCCTCATCTCTGGCTTTTAGTTACTGGGGTTTTGTTTGTTTGTTTGTTTATTAACAGATTCCTGTCATCTTTCTTGTTTCTCTATGCAAAAACATCATTATTGTTAGAGTTCTGCCCTCACTCCAGCTGCATGACCGCGCATGCACAGTTAAGGAGTTAAGCAAAGCATCTTGCATCTTACGTCACCAGTGTGCGCTGGTGACTGTGTGCATGGCACGGTCATGCAATCTGTGCATGCGTGGCTTAGCTCTGTCAGCCCGCCTGCGCATGTGCACAAGAGCCCTCAAAGAGCAGGACACAGACCCCGCCCCCTCTGTTCTGTTCTCTCTCCCCCCCCCCTTCTCTCTCTGCACGTGCTCCTTCCCCAGGCCTGGTTCTCTTGTTCCCCGACCCCTCTTCCTCCTAATAAAGCTCTGGTACTGACACTGGGTTTTGTCGTGACCGTGACCTTTCCATGCGGTAGCCAGCGCCAGTAACCAGCGCCGCTTATCGTTCTTACAATTATGTCTTGCTCTTATTTGCTACTGCACTTCCTCCTCCCCACTCACTTGTCTATCTTCCTTCCCCTAAATAATCTCCTCTGCTTTCCTCCACGTGTGTGTGTGTTAGAATACATATACATGATACATTATACCTAGCACAATACGCAGTCTATATGTGTTCCATGTATATGTGTGTGTATCTCTGTTTTTCTAACATCATCCCTTAACCCTTGACCTTCCCATGAAAAACTAAAATGTGAGAAGGGTCAGGAGCACTTAGAAAAGAGCATTGTGTTCCATAAAGGTTTGGGTTTGCAAGTTCATTGGATGAATCCAGTTCGCAAAAAAGCATTCCTTTGCAGACGCTGTTCCATTCGCTGATTTTTTTTT